AAATTATTTTCTGCAGATTGCATCGTGTTGGTAAAATCCACTACATATTCTAGTATCTGCAATTTGTCTCTCAACCCTTGTAATTGAGGAAGCCCAAGTTCTGAACCAGCTGGTATATATTTTTTTGATCGCTGTGTCTTTTTTTCTTTTTTTTCTTTTTTTACCTTGATTTTTTCTTCTCTCAAAAGCTTGGTTTTAATATAAGCTTTTCTAACTTCATCACTAAATTATTAAAGCTTAGTATATGGTATATTCTTTTCTTTGAATTATATTCTTTCTCCTTAATCTGCTTCAAAGTATAAGGTTTTAGAGTGCTTTTCTTTTTTTGATTTTTAGTTTTGTTGTATCTTCTTTGAAAATTTTTAAAATAACTAAAAAGCACATATTTGAACAATTTGTGAATAAGCCTTTTGCTAGATATATCCTTATTGAAGTTTCATTCCTAGTTCTTAGTAATATCAAGCATATTTATTTCTTAATGTACCACATAAATAGGTTATGTTTGATTTTACGAAATTCTTTGATGCATTTCATTATATAAATAAATCTGTATATTATATCTTTGATGTATTTTTTAGTCGGTAGTATCTCCTTAGGTTTGACTTGATAATCAAATTCTCTAATTTTTTTTCATTGTCCTTTACATATCTAAGAGTTTTTAGATATTTTTTGCCTAAAATTTCTCGCAAATCATTCCTTAAGTCAACCTTTATTTTCTTTCTTCCTTATCTTTTAGTTTGAAAATGAAATGGAATTCATATAAATAAATTATCTTAAGAATTTAATTAAATTGAATTCTCATATGTATTTAACAAATTTTTAGTCTCTTTGCTATAAAGTATAAATTAAAGTAGAATTAATTTCATATCTCTTTTGCAGATTGGATCGTTTTTGGTGTTTCTATTCCATATTCTGCACTTTGCATTCTCAACCTCCTTCAAAAACACTCGAATTGATCACGAAACAATATATAGTTGCATGCCGAGAAGGTATAATTTTTTTTACTCCCAATATATTTCATTCACATTTTTATGTGTATATATATATTTATATAAAGTAAAAATTCATTTACACGTAAATTATACTCACTACATTTACACAAAATCTCAATCATTCATCTTTTTACTTTCAATGTTTAAAATTAATTCACATTCATTGAAGATAATTATCTTTTTATCTAAAAAATGTGATAAATCTCAATTATTGAAAATAAAGAGATAAATAATTAAGATTTTATATAAGTGTAGTATATAAGATTTATGTTATATATAAGAAAGATTTATTTACACTTAAGATTTACATATTACACTTATATAAAATCTTAATTATTTATCTTTTCACTTTTAATAATTAAAATTTATCATGACTTTTTATATAATAAAAATAATTACATCTCAACTATTAAAAGTGAAAAAATGAATGATCAAAAATTTACTTACATATAACTTGTACACATATCACTTATATAAAATCTTAACTATTCATTTTTTCATTATAAATTATTGAGATTTATTTACTTTTATCTTTTTTTTAAGTGAATTATTATTTTATCTAAAAAATGTGATAAATTTCAATTATTCATAGTATAAAATGAGTAGTTGTGATTTTGATAAAATTTACAAGAAAGTTTTGTGTGTAAAAGGATCTTATCTGATCATATACATATATGAGTAGAGATCATTTATATATAAATTTTAAATACCACACTTATATAAAATTTTAACTATTTATAACTACTTTTAAAAATTGAGATTTATTCATATTTATTATAAATAATAATTGTCTTTTTATCTAATTTCTTTGGATTAAATACTCTCCCTCTCCTCCATTAACGGATTAGATTAGTCTTCTACCTTTTAAGTAATTTGTTACGTTTGGTTTCTGTTTTACATGTAATGGAAATCTTTGAAGAAGATAGGAAGCATACTGAAGCGTGCAGTGTGTGAAGAAGCCTTTCGCTAAGCACATCCTTTCTTCTCGTCAACGTGCATTCTCAACCTTTTTCAAAACTCTCGAATTGTTCAGAAAACAATTGTTCGATGCCATAAGGTATAATTTTTTCTTTTAGTTCTTGTATATATATATATATTTTTTTTAACAGCAATTCTTATATATTATCGTCACATTTATATATATATATGGAAAATAATTAGTACAACCACTAATTTATACTACCTATATTGACATTCACTTGATTTAATAATTAAAATATAATATAAATATAGTCTTTTCAATTGATTTCTCATGTTGTATGCATGGTTGCAAGTTTAAAGGTTTTCACATTAAATTTTAGATTGAATCATAATAATTTTTTAATAAATATATTATTAGACATGTTAAATTAAAAAGTTACATTAGTGTCATATATATAAAATATTTATTTATATATAAATTTTACATATTTTAAAAAAAATTATGACAAGTCAATCAGTCGTGAGGAACAATAAGATATCAAGTCAACTTGATTCGATTATGTATGTCTACTTCTATCAATCTGCTTTTTTTTTTTTTTTTCAAATATAAAAAATGATTGGGATAAGGGATGAGGATTTTCAAGTAGTTGATAGGACTTAAACTCTTAATCTTCTACCTTTAATTTTAAAAAATAAGTATTATTTGTTTTAAAATATTATTTACTTTATTGCTTTCGAGACTAATTTATTAAAACTTCAATTTCTTTGGAATAATACACTCCCCCTCTCCTCCAAAAGATTTGATCAATCCTGGATTGCTTTTTTAGCTTTTTAACTAATTTGTTACATTTTGGTTTCTATTTTACATTAGTGAAAATCTCTGAAGTAGCGAGAAGGTATATTAGTGCGTGCAACTGTGCAAGCTGTGAAGAAGCCTCTTCACCAAGCACATTCTTT